GTGAACTGCTGCTGGCAGCTGGTGAGCAGCGTGGCCCTTCGGGGCGCGTGGCCGCTGCCTCAGCCTGCTGGTGTGCGTGTAAGGGCACAGCTCTCTCGGTGCCAGGTCTGAAACCTCCTAAATCCACCTTCTTCTTCCTCAGCATCTGCCACTTTTCCATGCTGTGCCTAAGAGCACACGCTCAATGATGGCAACGTGGTGGGCCACCGGCTGAGCAATGCCCTTTGCAGTGAGAGTGGCCCTCTGCCCTCACAACTAGCCACAGGCTTGGGGTAGGTTTCGCCCAGGTAGGGTTTTCCATTGTCATTCCCCCTGCTCCGGTGTCAATTTTCCAGGAAAGAAGCCAGCAGAACTTGTGGTGGTATTTTATTATGTGCCCAAAACAAGAGAGCAGAAAGCAGGTTTCTTGAGAGCATTACCGGTTTCATTCTTTGCTTTGGGTTTTTAGAAAGGAAAATTAGTGTTTACCACATACATCTAGGCACACGTGTACGCACCAAGTGCTCCTGAAAATTGATTTATGGTAATCAGGGTTTCTTTCTTAGATTTTTAAAGAGAAATCAACCCTCTAGGGATGAAAGACTAGATGAAGCGTCAGGGTTAACACCTCAGCTTACTGTAATCTTGACTTTTAGACTGACAGAACAGTGTTGTTCACATCACAGGTGGGCAAAACATCCTCTTCGCTATCTCAACCTAAAGATGCAATTAGTGCGTTTTCACAGGGGACACGATCCTGCTCGCACCTCTGGCAGAGCAGGACTGATCCCGCCGTGCTGCACATAGCCGGGCCAGCCGGGCGCTGCAGGAGAGTGGCGACAGACGGTGGAGCTGCAGCGGTGAGACCCCGGTTCTGTATCGCGCACAGGCAACCGGGCCTCAATGAGATATACAGACCTCACAAGGTTTGGCAAGTTAACTCAGCCAAATCCCTCGGGCGACTTAGAAGGAACAAAGGGAGACAAAAATAGATTGATGGACTGTATCAGGAGAATTGCAAGTGTCAAAAATATCTGTTGCTCAGGGCAGAGGAAGATGGAAGTGACTGGAAGAGGCCAGAGTTCAGCAGTGGATTTATAAGGCTCCTTCTGGCACTGATAATATTACATTGTCATCTCCGAACATATGTTGCCGGAGTCAGAGTGACTCTTTCTTTATCCTCTGCTTTGCTTTTTTCTCAACTAGACTTTCTTAAGGCTTTTTCAAAAGGCATCACAAGGAGCATCGCTCAGCCGGGGCAGCCCAGAGACAAAGAGCACATCTGGCTGCACGGGGGAGCGAGGGCAGCGTGCGATCAGGTATGCCGCGGGAGACGTGCACGCCTCTGGGGAGCACAGCACCCCACAAAGCACCCGAATTCAGCTTCTGTGCTGTGGGAGAGGGTCCGCTCACCGTGCTCACGGGCAGGTGCACGTGAAGAGCATCGGTGCAAATTATTTTTATTATCTTCTGCTACGTGAAATAAAATCCAGATGAAGGTGTGTCACAAACAGTTTTGAAAACAGACTCTGGTGTTTTTCCAAAAGAGGGTTTCAGTCGGTGTCTCTGGAGCCTCTGACTTCAGCGGACACCCTTGCCGGCGTTAGAGGAGGACCTGGCCCAGGCAGGCGTAGCTGCTTTGTCTGAACGTGACCTGGGCTGAGCGCAGGCTGCTGTCGCCGGGCTGGACGGCTCCAATTTGTCAGCCCTCGCAGTGTGAGCTGGCCGGGCTCTCTGCCTGCTCTGGATACACTCGCGTGTTGGAGCAGATTTTATCCCGTGGTGTACATTTGTTCTCTGGCAAGCTGGAAGCTACAATTTATTATTAAAATTGATTGGCTCCAGTGCAGGGAAAACGATCGTAAGGAAACCCTATTACAGTTTTTCATTATCACCATTATTTATTTTTAAGTGCTATTAATATTCCTGAGTCTGGACAAGGCAGAAGATGAAAGGTGGTATCCACCCTTGCTGCTCACAGCCCAAGGCCTGGTAGTGCTGTCTGCAAGGGCTCTTTGAACAATTAAGCATATTGGAAAGTTTTTGCCCTCAATCTGCCTCTGGCGAACGGTAACGGGAGTAGAGCTGAAAAGGAAACAACTTTTGCATTGCCTGAAAATGATCCGGATTTTGAAGGCGTTCCCAGTCTCTCCCAGGTAGAAAAAGGCTCTGCGAGCAACGCTGGGCAGGGCCAGGGCCAGCGTGGTCCTCAGCAGGCACCGGGGGTGCAGGAGGATCCAGGGTCAAAGCTCGGCTCGGCTGGGCTGCTCTGCTAGGGGCAACGGATGCCTCCGGTTCACCTGTTGGGGCTGTGCCGTGTTCAGCGAGGATTGAACCTGTTGCGTGTGGGTCTTCGTGTCTCAGATGAGGTCCCAAATTGCAACCGAGTCAGTATCTCACTCTCTGAACCAATACGTCATTAGTCCTTAATTCAAAGTAGAACTCCATCTTGGATGTGAGGTCAAGAACTGTCCCATTTCGTAGGCTAAACTAGGGCATATCTTCACCTGTTCCCACTGGGTGGGGACCAAGCCATAGGAAACCAACAATCCTGCATGATAGTCTGTTGAAACATAAAGTCCACGGCGGTCTGCAGGAGGAAGGGATGGCTCCCAGCTTCTCCAGAGAGCACCATGGGAACCTCAGCTCTCGCTTTCTGATGGGCTTGACTGAAATGAACTTTTACTTGCAAAATACTAAAATTGGCTTATTTGTACCATAGACTGGACAGGATTTATTTTTTCTCCCCAGCAATGAGCACTTTTTTCTTACCTCTGTGGTGTTACTAGCAGTAATTATGAGGTCTCTGATACAACTGAAGTTGAGGAACAAGGTGTGTTGTAACACTTGGGACATTTTCTAAGGAAATAAACGTTTCAGGAGATGAGTACAAGCTCAGGAAGACAACGTGTTAAGCAAGTTAGTTTCACAATAGACGGTCGGGTTTTTGTTATTCTCTATGATTTCAGAGAACTCATGTACTAGTTTGTGATTGAAACCCCGGAGGTTTACACCGCTAACTGAACTAG